AAAATAATGCAGCCCTTGGGAAGGGGGCTGTTCTCACATACCCAGCCATATCTTCTGGCCAGCATGTAGGTGGGGATAGCCAAAGCTCCATACATTTACTATTCACAACACCCATACATTTGCTCCCTAATGGGAACATCCACAGAGCAGCTTCTGTTCTCCACACAGGACCCACACCTGATGTGGTCATGCCAAGGAGACTGGGAGAAGACCTAATTTCCCTCTACATTTGCATTAACATTAGTTAGGATCTGACCCTAGCTTAGAGAGATAACACAAGTAAAGGCGGTGGAATAGGCATGAAGCCAGAAAAAGGACTGAGCAATGGGAAAGGTATACAACTGATGGGTGAACACTGTTGTACCAAAAAAGCAGACTCCATAAAATTTTTTTATATTTCTTGTTTGCTTGTTTATATAGTATAGCACCAGGGTAGGAGCAAAGAGCCATAGAGACTAGTGGTAAAAAATACTAATCAAAATAAAGGAGAGACAAAGTGAGGGAAGGAATAGCTTTTATTGGACCAACTTCTGCTGATGAAAGAGAAAGCTTTTGAGCTACATAGTGCTCTTCAGGTCTGGAAAAGGTACTGAGAGTGTCACAGCTAAATACAAGGTGGAATGGATTGTTTAGAGCAGGGGTCGGCAACCTTTTAGAAGAGGTGTGCTGAGTCTTCATTTATTTACTCTGATTTAAGGTTTTGCGTGCTAGTATTACATTTTAACATTTTTAGAAGGTCTCTTTCTATAAATCTATAATATATAACTAAACTATTGTTGTATGTAAAGTAAATAAGGTTTTTAAAATGTTTAAGAAGCTTCATTTAAAATTAAATTAAAATGCAGAGCCCCTCTGACCGGTGGCCAGGACCCAGGCAGTGTGTGCCCCTGAAAATCAGCTTGTGTGCCGAAGGTTGCCTACCTCTGATTTAGAGTAAGTAGTTAGCACATACTCTAAGACTGTTGTAGCCGTGTTGGTCCCAGGATATTAGAGAGAAAAGGTGGGTGAGGAAATAGCTTTTACTGACTCAACCTCTGTTGGTGAGAAAGACAAACTTTTGAGCTTGTACAGAGATCTTCATCAAGTCTGGGAAATTTCCTTTGAGAGCAATGACTGAGGGGTCAGATATGGACTGATCACTTTGTGAAAAACATTTACTCACAGGTGATATGGTATTTTTGTCTTATTTTTCTATATGAGTTCATTTGAGAGCATAGAGATTGTCTGGTTGCACCCACAAAGTTGTTAGTGGGGAATTTAGTGCACTGGATGAGATATATCACATGCTGTGACAGGCCTGTGTAGGATACATGGATCTTGAAAGGTGTGTTGGGGGTGAGGGTATTGATCATAGTAGCAGTGGAGATATTCTTGCAGATTTTGCATCTGTTGTTCTGGTAGGGTCTGGTGCAGCTTTGAGTTGGTGGGTCCTGGTCTGTGGGGAGCTTGCTTCTGATGAGCCTGGCGAGGTTGAGGGGTTTGAATGCCAGAAGAAGGGGCTTGGGAAAGATTTCTTTCAGGATGTGGTCCCCATTGAATATGGATTGTAAATATTTCATGATAAGGATGAACAATTTTTACAAAATGATCACTCCGTATCAGACCTCTCAGTCCTTCCTCAAAGGAAGCCTGTATAAGACCTTCAAAAGACAACCCTGGAAGCTTAAATTCATAACTTTGCTAGACAGTAAAGATCATGGTCTTAATAAAGATACTAGATTTCTGGGTCACTACAACAATCTGTAAAAGGGGCGGGGGGGGGGGGGGGGCGTTTTGCCCTATGTTTGCATAGGTGTTAGTGGGCCCTTCACCTTGAATGGTCTCTTAGAATAACTACACCACTACCTCAATATAACGCGACCCAATATAACACGAATTCGGATATAACGCGGTAAAGCGCTGCTCCAGGTGGGTGGGGCTGTGCACTCCGGTGGATCAAAGCAAGTTCAATATAACGCGGTTTCACCTATAACGCGGTAAGATTTTTTGGCTCCCGAGGACAGCATTATATCGAGGTAGACGTGTACTACTTATGCTAAACAATCTGTTCTACCTTGTATTTAGCTGTGATACTCTCAGTACCTTTCCCAGACCTGATGAAGAGCTCTGTGTAAGCTCAAAAGCTTACCTCTCTCACCAACAGAAGTTGGTCCAATAAAAGATATTATCTCACCCACCTTGTGTCTCTAATATCCTGGGACCAACACGGCTACACCACTGTAATCAGAATAAGTGGGTTTTGAGGAAGGGGTTGAAGAGGGATAAGTAGAGAAGAGGGTATAAAAAGGAAAGAGGATTAGTTTATCTTGGGGCATGTTTAGTTTAAGAAAGGAACTGGGATATGGAAATGTGGAAGATTTTAAAAAGAACAGGAGTCCAATCTATAGGTAGAGATTCATTCATGGTTATGCAGCACTGATAAACCACCCAAACAAAGGACAGGTTTCAGAGTAGCAGCTGCGTTAGTCTGTATCCACAAAAAGAACAGGAGTACTTGTGGCACCTTAGAGACTAACAAAATTATTTGAGCATAAGCTTTCCAAACAAAGGAGTAAAACTATATAAGACACCGACAAAAACTGTTTCAAAGCATAGAGAATCATTTTACAATATAGTGGAAATTATACAGCTCTATTATTATACTCAATTATGAAGAGTAGCTAGGAAGAAAGAAGATAGGATTGTTAAACAGCATCTGAAACCCTTAGAAATATATTATGGTGACAGTCAATAAGGAATTACATATGAACATCCAGTGCAATCTGGTAGCATAAGACCCACCAACAACCACCAATTCTGGGCTGCACAGGTAGAGAGGTCACAGAACTGGGAGACAGTGCAGTGCTTAGACTACTGCATTTGGTTCTGTCTACCCATTATCAATCTCCTGCTCAAAAGTAAGACTGCATTAATTCATTACAATAGTGTCTTTCAATAAAGCAAGCTGATTTTTGTCACTACCATTCTTCATAATATACCATTAACTACTGGAAAAGATAAATAACTATAATCTAGCACTATACAGACACAATCAATCATAAGGACTTTAATCTAATGGGAAAAGAGCATGATCAGGATGACAAAAAAAAATCTTAAAATTTATTCCTGACAAATTGAACATGTATATTCTCTTATACAAGACATCAAGAAGAAGGAAAATGTAAAGGGGAGATAGAAGAACCAAATCATCACAGCTAAAATCCCAGTTTATTAAAAACAATTTTCTAGAAACTAGGCTCTAAAGGACTTGATAAACTTTAGGGGTGTTTTGCCATTGACTTCAACAGGGCCAGGATTTCACCCTAGGTATACAGTGTACTGCTCTTTAGAGACGTGTTATGCATGGTCTATAGTTGATAGTGTTTTTAAATCAGGCTGAGCAAAATAAATATGCTGTTAGACATATCTGCTGAATAAACACAGATGGGATAAAGTAAAGAATTAATCTACCGTTGCAAGATCTGTTTTAGATTGTCAGTTGTGTTGTGTAAAACACCATGCACACCTTTGGCTCTATCTAACTAATGTATAATACATGGTGGGTCGCTCAGATATAATAAAAGGGAAGAGAATCAAGATAAGGAGCCTGAATGGCAGTCAGAAAGATGGAAAACAATCAACCACTGCAAAAAAAAATAAAAAAAAATCTACAATCTGTGGCAACCTTCCTGCAATACGATGCTTCAAGAAATAAAGATCCTCAATAAGATCACTGAGCAGACTCTGTGTTGTGACCCATTCTAAAAAATATGGAGCTGGTAATGCTAAGAGATGGATTACGAAATAAAAAGCCAAATCAATGGATATGATGAACTAAAATACCATGGCTTAATGAGACCATACAAAATCCATGGTATCAGCACAACACAGAAAAAAATAACAACAGGACGATAAAGAATATAAATGGCTTTTAACAAGAGAAGAGACAACTGCGTTAAAGAAAATAGTAGTGGAGAGATAGGTGTTTTGTCAGGAATACACAAGGTAACTAATGAAGCAGACAGAATACTTTATGAAACTAAGAATGGGTACAGAAAGCTCTGGAAAGATATAAGATCTAAGGAGGCTCACGCCCTGCAGTGAACTGACAGAAATGAAAATGTTAAAATTACTCAACTGTGTAACATTTCATGCTTAGATACACTTTCCTCATTTAAAGGGACATCTTCAAGGTTGTTAGTCTAAAAACTGACCTGCCTCAAAAGTGGTCTAATGTTGAAGGTCTCATCTTCTGATTCCATCTTTTTCCACCCCGCACAAACTGATTGCTGTTGCGGAAACTATATAGATCTTAAGAAGATATGCAACGTACCATTACATAGTAACACACAATAGATCCGATGTGTTTTTAACATCATATATGTGTGTGCATGTGTGCCAAAATTGCCTGGTGCTGCCCAGGCTCAGTTCATGGATTTCTAAAAGGTAACTTCATCAGGAGACCACTGTCAAGGTAGGCCAGTTTTTAAACTTAAAAAACCTGGCATTGTTCCTTTAATAACTACCCGATATGAAGATGTGTTTCAGTATAATGCTGTACAGATAGATACAATATTTTTCTCTCCTTTAAAAATAGGGTTGATATTTATACCTGAAATCTCCATGATATGTACTTTAATAGGATAGTAGTCCATACTGGGCAAACACAAAAATTATACCACACTTTTTCTAGCCCAGTAACCAACCTCCCTTACGATCTCCCCTCAATTTTTTAAATTGTTTACAAGGATATGGTGCTGGAAATTGCCTGCAGCCAGCAATTTGATCTCAGCCAGTACTTTGAGTCCAATTCAATGCCTACTGGAATCAATAGTAATCTTTTCATTGTCTTAAATGGAGGTTGGATCAGGCTCCTAATACCCACCATGTCTTCATCATCTGTGTTTATTCCATGGGACTTGGTCCTCTCACCTAATTGCTCTCTCTCTCTGAGATACACAATGATTTAGAGGTTGAGTGATCATACGAACATTTCATGTTAAATGATCTTCAGTACTTACAGACTTCCTGACATCTTTTGAAGAAAGATCAATCAACTTCTTGTTCATGGACCACTCTTCATCACATTCCAGTATAGCTTTCTGTAAAAGCATTGTATCTAAATGTGAAAACAGCCCCTCACACAGCAAAGCACGAAGTGTAACTTTTTAATGTAATAAAGTAAATTTTGAGGTATACTATGCAATGTGAATACCAATAATTCCTCTGCTAAGGAAGTAGCTTTATTTTTGGCAACATTTCTGCAATTTTCAGAAAGTAAATATTTTATAGAAATAGTGGGTAATGCTCACATTTTCATTTAATTGGTTTTTTTTTTACTTCTTTAGTTTTATAACCACAACCTAACTTTTGCCTAACAAATGATCTTTAACAAGAACTTTCAATTTAATAGAGAATAAAAAAGTCACAGGTCACACATCCCTATCACCATGCTCACTAAAAGCCACTGATGAGTTCATTAAATTTTACTGTTCTTTTCTGCAGTAGACTCCAACTTAGAAGGCTACTGGCATTCAAAGACTTATAATGCTAAGTGTCTGCCCTCATAGTATGGAAATGGAATCTACTGCACCTACAGTTTAAATGTCAGTTGCCATGTATTTTAATAGCGGAAACACTTGAAAGATAATGAAAGTTATGTTCAAATAGCTCTGTATTAGATCTTGTGCATTACTTTCCTTTTAGTGTTTAAAGGGAAAGAAAGGTTTAGTAGCATCTAGTTTGATATTTAATGAACCCAAACAGGTGGAAAATTTCACATGTGGTGAAAGCAAGTTACTGTGTCTGCATTAGTCAGATTGACTGTTACACATTGTTGGAAACAAAACAAAAAATGTGATTTCATTCCAGGGGAACTATAAAAACCTCAAGAAGCAAGTCACTATCCATGTCTGCAGGCACAGAGGGCCCCATATGCTGTTTATTGCTATGGGAAGTAGACTCTTGACGAGCCCATGGGTAGGGGGGAAGAAGAGAGCACAGCCAGGCACTGGAGCTGCTACTATGCATATTCACTGCCTATTGCTCCCCACACAGCTGGGACGCAGGCAGTGCGGAGGCTAAGGCAGCCTCTGAGCTGCAGCAGCAGACATGGAGCAGCTCTGCTGGCACTCTGCAGTGTGAAATGGAGAAGTAGTGTTCCTTCCACACCTGCCCAGATGACCTCTCTAGTGCTGAGTCCACTTCCTCAGTCTGGGTGCTGAGCATAGGGTTTGGCCCTAATAGAATACATAGATACATCTAAATGGTATAAATTCCCACATGTTAAAATGTTTGAAAATCCTTTCCTCTTTTACTTACCTGCTAAGACCCAAATTCTGGGTTTTGAGTTTCTCCTGCAGGAACTAATGATATTGCAAACCCTTATAGCCCTGCAAGGAATTCAGCTTCTTGTGGAATCTAAGAGTGTCAGATATTAGAACCCTGCACAGAGAAGAACAGCTCTTCCACTGGCTCACGTGTCTGAAGAGAGGTTCAAACCCTGCTATAGTTCCTGAAGTGGGGTTAATAGGACCCAGCTAGTCTAACACCAAGGGTTATACCTTGACAGGCAAAAAAGATGTGTTTTTCAACAGCTGTACTCAAGAAATCAGAAATAAAAGTAATATGGGAAAGCCATTGAACTGACTGAAGGTTAACAACTTTTTAAATACCTTAAAGTAGATGGGAGCCATATCCCCCAGTTCTTTTGGGAGGGGAATGCATTCATATACCATATGATATCGTTTCTTTATACTCATGTTTGTCTCTAGGAAGACACAATCCAATTCTTTAGCTTCAAACATCTTTACCAAGGCCTTTCTGAACATCTGTAAGAGAAAAAGATTATAAATGGAAATGTTTAAAGCCCCCCAAACTCTGGAACTAAAAGCTCGAGTCTTTCACTAAGAACACCACCGATGCATGGTATGGAAAATCTAACCCCAGGAATGAACAGCCAGAATGACTCAAAGGACTGAGACTACCACATGATCAAATATACAGAGCACTAGACTGGGACTCAGGAGACCTCAGTTCTCTTTCCAACTTGGCCATTGGCCTGCAGGGTAACCATGGACGAGTCATTTCATCTCTCTATGCATCAGCTTCCCCATCAGTAAAATAGGAATGATGATATTTGTCTCCTTGGAAAAGCGCTTTGGGATCTATGGATGAAAATCACTCCATAAAAGCTGGGGATCACTATTCAATACTCTTAGCTAGCAACGTCAGGGACAGAAATCCATTTGCCTAGTAAACTAGTACTAAATTGGGAGGGTGGGTGGGAATTATCTTTCATTATGTGCTGCAGGCCTGCCATTGGCATGTCCCCTGCACTGGGGCTTGAAGGGGGCCTGTGGAGGGCGGTTTAAAGTGGCTCAACACCAATGCCAGGGAAGTTATTCCACGGCCCACTGCAGGGCTTTTACAGCTCCTGTATACCATCGCAACTGCATACAGCAGCCAGAGCGTGGGTGACACACACACTTCTTTTTTAAGACAGTACAACAGCGAGTGAAACTTTCTCTCCTCAGTTCAGTGACAAAGCATTTTACTGTTCAGATCTAGTCACATAAGAAGCTCTTAACTGATCCAAATACTTTTTAATGCTTGCGCTGGAATAGACAAATACTTTCCTTCATTCATCTTATCCACACAATTGCTTGCAGTAGAGTTTTTTTTGTGTGGGGAGGGGAGTCAAATAGAGTCTCTAGCTTACCCTTTTCTCCATATTACATTTACTACCAAGACCTGGGACAAAAGAGTTCCTTAGAGTGTGAAACTGCAGAATGGCCTAATTCCTCCTTTTTTTTAAAACCAAAAGCAGAAAAATGAAAACTAAAAATGAAACAGAAGTAGCTTAATGTTTTCCATCAAAAATCTGATGCCTCATCCTTTCAAAATACACAACTAGCACACTACAAATCACAATAAGTTTCTGCCCAAATCTGTCAAACTACAGGGTTACATTTAGAAAGGAGCAGAATAAACTGTAAGCATGAAAAGGAGACTTTCATAATATTTTCAAACTCAGCCTTTTCATCATTAACTAGCCCTAGAATTTTGATGTCAGGCTGAGTATCACCAGTAGGTGATTGGATTCTTCCTCTCAGTTATGTTTTTCCTCTAGTTGATGACAGACGACTGTAAAATTATTTGCAAGATATCTGAATAAAGGCCATGTGAAACTTCCCCTCCCTTTGCTTCCCAACTCATCCCTAATTCTCTATAAAGGCACAATTTCCTTGTAGCTGCTGTGACAAGGCTACTGAGGCAGGCCAGGTGTTGCAAAATAAGAATATTGTCCCCAAGTGGCAATGGCATTTAAAATAAAAATTTCTTCCCTTCCCTGGCCAATAACTCCAAGAATTACACAATAATCACTGCTTTTTGTTACGTCATGCCAAGTTTCTGAGTAAAATTTAATTTAACAGTTGATGCCTTAGAAAACGCCACCTTCAGTGCCACCACATTGCTCCCTCTGCACTTGCATTAATGCCACATTCCTCCCCCGGAATTTAGGGGAGCATTAAACCAAAAACCAGGTGTGATACTACCATCTTCCCACTACCATCCAACAATACTAAACACTAATACTAAACATTCTAAAAGCTCAAAAGATCTTCAGATACAGTTTGTATTGAGTAACAGCCAGCCTACCATTTCTTAGTATACTTAGGACACTCTGTTTATTCAAATTCTGAAAGGCCTAAAAAACACCATGTAACTCAAGACCGTCAAAAACAGTTCACAACAGCATACAACAGAGCACAGCATATGCTCAGATGCAGAGCACTTTAATAAATTACTATAGTATAAGCAAAGGTTTACACACTTTTATATTATTTAAATGATTTTTACACACACATTGCTTTGGCAGCTGGACATGTGACAAATTAAATAGAAGGCCACCATAAGAAAAACTACCCAGCAATGATAATTAGCCAAAAGATGCAACTTGCAGAGCAGTATGAACATCAATAAATTCTTTATAAATATTTAAAATATAATCAAAGTGTCCGGCCAGTTTATTTTATTTTTATGTTTTCCCCCAAACAATAGCAGAGTAAAATATTGCCTTTAGGTCAGAAAAGTTTGCTCAGTTGTGAAGTAAAGGTCTGATCTTACGCTTATTGTAGTCAATGGGAATCTTTCCACTGAATTTAATTGGAGTTGGATCGAGCTCCAAAGCCCCTCTGGGTTTGATTCTTGTATTATCCCGAACATTTTAACCCTCTCTATCATTGTACATTCCACAATTTACAATGAGAGGTGACCACACTGGTTGGGATAAAGAAAGATTTTTTTGTTCCATCTATCAAACTGGACACTGCCCCCCCCTTTTTAAAATATTTTAAAAGTTGACCCTTTTCCCCACGTTTATGCACAATTCTACACCCTGTCGCTCTCGATGAGATCAGAGGTGTCTAAACAGCAAGAACGGTCATTCTCGTGGTATTTTTGTCCCATCCATAAAAAGGAAGTACAAGAAGCCTTCTCTCTCAATATTTCCTGACAACATTTCCAAATGGGACTGGCTAGTTTAGCTGAGATCTGGTTTAAGAATCCAAACCTTTAGGATTCTTACCTAGAACAATCCTTTTGAAGTTTACCCATCATTAAATTATAGTCACAGATGCAGTATTTTCTGCTCTCAAAACCAGGCAGTATAATATATAACAAACATAGAGGTACAATACATATTCTATCAGCACTGCACTTTTTAATGTTAGGACACTGATCCTATCAGATGTAGAATTCAGAAGCAGATTTAAAACCTGCTTACCATTTTATTTCCACAGGAGTTTTGCCAGAGTAAGGACAGCCAGGTTTGGCTCAGAGGTTTAAATTTGGTAGCAGGGAATGCCCACTTTTAAACTCTCTCTACTCTTTCTCTGGGCCCCAGATGGGAAAATACTGCTATGCAGTCCCAGAATTACTGAGTCTGTATAGAGTGTGTGTATGTGGTAATTAAGATGACTCTGCTCCCATTCAGCCCCAGGCCAGTGAGCATCTGGAGAGTTCCTCCATTGGGCTACAAATTGATATGCAAAAAAGTCACTTGTATGGATGGTCATGAAAAACAAATAGCTGTGAATGCTAGAAGTGTCACTCCAGTGGGTCACTTGAATAAAAATTTTGGAATGCTTTTGCAGTAATTGCTCATTCCTAGTGTTGTACACCACTTTTATGTATAACAAATGCTCTCTCTTTTGCTATTCTGTATTATCCACTCACTGAACTGAAGATGCCTTTATAACAGACCCAATTCAGTAGCATCTGCAAACTTGACACACTTGCTTTCACTGTAATCATCCTAGTGTTAAGACAAAAAATAAAATAGCAACAATAGTTCTAACTACTACAGAACTCCACGGCTAATCACTGTGTAGCATGTAGCATAGGTAGCCTTTGTTTCCTCTGCTGTAACACAAATACAATCTGTGGACCTATTGTTGCAAGGCCTGTACCCTCGGATTGGAGCTCTGATTTGTTGAAAGTGGAAAAAATAACTGTTTTAACCTGGCTCAATACCCCTCCCTACAATCACCAATCTATTCTGAGTGGACCCACTCACTGGGGCCCACATGCTTCCAAGCCAAATGGCTCTGGGTAGAGTCTCGTCACTGTTTTTAGCTCTGGGTCCTTAGCTCACACTACTGGGCTCAGACCTCTTATCTCTTGGAACCACCCAGTTGCCCTAGACCAGAGGTTCTCAAACTTCATTGCGTGACCGCTTTTTAATAACAAAAATTACTACACCACCCCAGGAGGGGAACTGAAGCCTGAGCCTGCCTGGGCCCTGCCGCCTGGGTGGGGAAGGGCCAAACCCCGAATCCTGAGCACCGCTGCCCAGGGCTGAAGTCCTCGAGCTTTGGCTTCAGCAGTTGGGCTCGGGCCCCAGCAAATCTAAGCCAGCCCTGGCGACCCCATTCAAACAGAGTCGCGACCCAACTGCTGCCCTAGACCCTGAAACCAGTGTCTGAGACCTCCCAAGCCCCCTAGTTGCTTTCACATGATCTCTCAGAGCTCCACTAGGCTAAGGGCACCCTGAACTCTGGTTTAACCCCTTCAAGGACAACATGGCAGGTAAGCAAGGAACACAGGCTTAGCAAAGGAATTTCTTAACTACAGTCACTTTATTCTTAAAAAACACTCATGAGTTACACATCTTTGAAAACAAAAAAATCCTGAGATGCACCTTCCCCATAGCATAGTGGCTCTCAAACTTTTGTATTGGTGACCCCTTTCACACAGCAAACCTATGAGTGCGACCCCCCTTATAAATTAAAAACACTTTTTTTATATTTAACACTATTATAAATGCTGGAAGCGAAGCAGGATTTGGGGGTGGAGGCTGATAGATTGTGACCCCCCACATAATCACCTTACGACTCCCTGAGGGGAGACGACCACCGCGGATCGAACC